TGGAAGGTCACACCTAGTTCTATTTCGACTTAGCTTGGCGTGAAATGAACTTGCCTCTTCTTTTTTAACAAACTGCATATCACTGAACTTGGTCTGGTTTCCCCACAACATGCATTGCTGGAGATACCACAGAATAGCACATTTGCTATTGACCTCCATGTGGTACATGGCTGACAGAATGCCAAAGGGAGCTGCTGTTGCTGCTAGTGCTCTGTACTAGGTTAGCATGGGCCTGACCTCTTTTTTTTTTTTTTTTTTTTTAAACAGGACCGTATGGTCCTGGGCTGACCAAATTTCTGACTTGGTTGAAACATAGAGTAGAGCCCTCAGCCCAGAAAGCCCGAGGGGGGGGGAGGGGCGAACAGGGCGGGAGAGGCGGTTAACTGAGGCCTCAATTTTCAGACCACTTGTCAGGCCATTTATAACAAAACCCAGGGGCTATTTATAACAAAACCCAGGGGCCATTTATAACAAAACCCAGGGGTCATTTTAACCAAACTCAAGTTGCCACCAATTCATAGATTGGAGGTCATACTAGTAGTAGCTACTTACAAAGGAAAAAAGTCGGGGGTGTGGTAGGGGCAGAGCGCCGACGCAACAAGTTGGACTGCATACCGTGCGACTCAGAAAAAGGCAAACCTTGCTTTCTTTAGTTGATGAAACATTTTTCTTGCGAGTCTACAAGGTGACAAGCCTCCTTACTGAAAGGTCGCAGAGCTTTCAAATTCATTTGGTGAAATAGGTCCGGATGGGGTGGGTAGACCGCAACCTTGACAAAGGGGTGGAGGGGAGACGAGCAACTTGAAGAGGGCAATCTTGCATCTCCGGGTTGGCTTCGCCCTAGTGAGGAATGGGCTTTACCTCATGCACGGCCGTGAAACAGCCATGCCTCATGGATGCTTTGCTTTTTAAAGCTGATCCACCACAAACAGACACATAGAAAGGTGAGATGAAGCGGAGCGGCAGCTGCAGTAGCTCTCAAAGGACGAGGAGGAGGAGGAAAAAGAGCAACATTGTTTTACATTTAGCACAACCAGAGTGCATTTTTTGATCGGTCAAAGGAAGTCGTATGCCACTGCTTCTTATCGACAAGAACCGACGGTTTAGTCTGTCTGGAAACCACAGCGATCCCAAGGTATAAAAATTGAAGCAGAAACAAAGGGCCTAGTTGCACTACTCACCATCCGTCACATTTCGTGGCGGATCCGTGGAGAGTGAAAAATATGAGAATCGTGTCGAACTCGAGGCCTGGTTGCACGTACTCGCCACGAGATTTCTTCTACAGAAACGTTAAAAAAAATTGTCTCCCCCATGTCGACTCGTGAAGCCCTGCACTCTCCAGAAAGCTGTTTTGTGGCAAGGTCCGAAGACCACCCTCCACAAACCGCCGTGCACAGGCGGGGAAACTGAATTCACTCTCCACAAGTTGTGTCGACGGTGTGGCGAGCCATCTGACACATTTTGCATTCGCCAAGTTTGGCGAGTAAGTGCAACCAGGCGCCTACTCGCCAAACTTGGCCTATGGCGGTAGTGCAACTAGGCCCAAAGGAGAGGATAATAAGAGCACCAGGACAAGAAGCAGCCTGAAGAGGACGAAAACAGAGAGAGGAGGGAGGCTGACGCTACCCAAAGACAACAAAAAGATCAAGAGAGTAGCACGATGACACGAGGGACGAGACGGAGGGACGATAACGAATGAAATAGGAAAAGAACAGGGAGAAGCGAAAACAGAGAGAGGAGGGAGAAGATGAGAAGCCAAAGGAAACAAAAAGATCAAGAGCGTAACATAGAGGTCACTGGTTTTTCTTCTCCCCCCCCCAAAAAAAAATAAAAAAAAAATAAAGGCATGATGACACGGGGGACGGGGAGGACACCTGACACAAACAGCCACCGACTATTTGGCACAAATTAAACGCACTAAGCTTCAGTACTTAGGGAGGGACCCCACTGGCTGGCGGTAGCTGGCAGCCAGGAAAGCATTCGCCAGCACAAATAGTAGAATGGGCAGGTGAAATGGGACTCTATTGCCACACCAATTTTCGGCACTTCCCGAGGTTTCTGTTACCCGATAAGGAAGACTTGCCATTTCGGGCAAGTTCGCCCTCCGCTTTTTCAGCACACCAACCGATCCCCGTGCCTCCTTTCCGCACGGGATGGCTGGTATGCTGGCGGACTCTAGGCGTTGGCCAGCGTACCAGCCATCCTGTGTGGAAAGGAGGCACAGGGATTGGTTGGTGTGCTATAAAAGCGGAGGTAGGCAGAGTGGAAACGGAAGTGGATTGCGTTTGCCCCCAGCCAGTGGGGTCGCAGAACATCTCTTCTCTTCCAAAGGCTGGCGGCCGGCTACCGCCAGCCAGTGGGGTCCAAGCCTTCGATAAAACATTCGGAAAGTCGAAACTACATAATAGCCAATAAACTAAAACACAGAGAGAACTCTACGGAGTTCTATATAAACTAATAATAATCATATTATCATAAACATATGATTGTGTGTGTGCATGTGAGGTAGAGAGATGGAGAAAGAAGATGCATAGGTAGGTGAGAGAGAGAATGTGTATATATGAGAATGTGTATATACGGAGTTCTATATAAACTAATAATAATCATATTATCATAAACATATGATTGTGTGTGTGCATGTGAGGTAGAGAGATGGAGAAAGAAGATGCATAGGTAGGTGAGAGAGAGAATGTGTATATATCGTCAAACAGAACTGCCCGGTAAACCGTAGGCAGAGAGAGAGAAGAGGACAACAAACGAGGGGCTGTGGCAAACTGTTTCGTCGGAGTTTCACCGACTCATCAGGAGGCTGAACCCTCAACAGTCTGCAGAATCCCCTCACTGATTACACTGTAAATGATAATCTACCTTAACCAAAATCAAAGTAGACTATCACTCACCCACACCAGATGGAAAACTCTACAGACTGTCGGTTCACACCCCATCACAAGCCAGCAAAACATCCACGAAACAAAGAAAGGTCTGTCACAGCCAAAAAATACACTCCAGACACGCCGCTGGCAATATATATATCGTCACAAACAGAACTGCCCGGTAAAACCGTAGGCAGAGAGAGAGAAGAGGACAAGAAACGAGGGGCTGTGACAAACTGTTTCGTCATATATGTGCGTCAGCGTGTCCACGTGCTCGTGTGTGTTTTGAATATTCACCACAACAGCCCGCTGTTCCACCCAGATGAACAGATCCAAAATCAAAGCATATTTAATTTAATCCTTTTTATTACAGACAACAAAAGCCCTAAGCTTGGGTTGAGACACCCCAACAGTGAATGAAACAGTTTCGCCTCAATAGCAACAAGCAAGCAACATGAAGTACAATAGCTGCATGCATGTAAACCCCTTTCTTGAATGTGATGTGTTCACATTTGCTTTCTTTGGGGTAGGTACCCCTTTCATTTGTTCTTGCAGCTCCCCCCCTTTACCGTGCCTCTCATGCACAAGGCTCACCATGTTCGAAGTGAAAACAGAGCGAGGAGCGAGAGGACGAGGAGGCCCAAGACGACAAAAAGATAACACGGGGGATGGGGGAGGGAGGATAATGACTGAAATAGAAAAAGAACAGGGGGAAGAAACAGGAAGGAAGATCAGGAGGAGGAGGAGGAAGAGGGAATAGGAGGGACTTCCGGAAAGGAAGACAGAGACCAACGAGGAGGAGGACGTGTAGAAAGAGATGCGGGCGGGGTACAGAAGGAAAACATGCATAAACAAAAAGAGAACAACACTGTCTGTGTTCCAATGCTATGGAAGCATCCATGCATGCTTCCCCAGCGAGAAGCGAAAACATGCATAAACAAAAGAGAATGGATGCCTCCATGGAAGCCATATCCATGGAGGATGAGATCTGCTGAGACCAAGAAAGACTGCTATGGAAGCAGCCATGGTAGCACACTTGCACAAAAAACTGCAAGAGGTCAGGAAAGAGGAGAATCCTCTTTAGAAGTTTAGAGGTAGTGACTCATAATACAGGAGGCCACCATATCCTGAGCAGATCACGGCAGCCCGAAAACTATTTGTGGGGAGGAGCACCACAAGTTTCTTACCAGAAAGTTTTAATTACTAATTACACCATGATAATAATAATAATGCATTGTGAAAAAAAAAAAAAAAAAAAAAAATTGCATTTTGCCATGTTGTAACTGGGAGCAAAAAAACATCACACACATCAAGTTCTGACACTATTCTCCTCCCATAACTGTCACAATCATCCACAATTCAATCACCATTCAATCACACAATTCAATCACACACTCGACCCCCATTCAACCCCCCCCATTCAACCCCCCATTCAACCCCCATTGAACCACCATTCCACCACTATCAAAATTGAGCCCCCTCAACCACCATTTGACCCCCTTTCAACCGGCATTTAACCCCCATTTAACCGCCGTTTAACCACCACTTAACAAGCATCAAAATTGAGCACCATCAACCACTATTCGACCCCCTTTCGTCTGCCATTTAACCCCCATTTTAACCCCCATTTAACCGCCATTCAACCGCCAGTTAACCACCATTCAACCACAATCAAAATTGAGCACCGTCAACAGCTGTCAGCCACAAGTGACGCCTAGAGATGAACTAGCACCGACCCCTCAACCCTTGCTGTGTACGATTGAGACATCACGGCAAGTCACACGATTGCATCAGGCTGTCTCGCCTCACTGGACACTTGATGCCCTAATAACTACCCCTTTAGCAGTTTTGGCACACAGGGCATCAGAAACCCTTATGCTGATGAATTTTATAGATATATTAACTCTGCAAACTCTCCCCAACCTTCAACCACCAGTGATTTTGACCCTAAACCAAAGCCTCGAAACTCCCTCGCCCCCCCCCCCCCCTTCCTCTCACCAAAGAAAACGGAATCGCTGCAGGCCTTGTTTAGGCTGGTGCCACCAGCCATTTTCCTGCAGTACACCGACCGCCAAAACTTGTCATTCACGTGCCGCCGCGTCAGCCAAAAAAAAGGCTGGCAGACGTACTTGTTGCTTTTTAAGACGCGTCCGTGCATTTCATGGCCTCCTGGATTCATAGAAGCTCCATATGCTGAAACCTCCGAGTACCTAATAATGAATGCATCGGTGCGGACAATCAGCAGGGAAGGAAGTCTAATGACCGTAAAGCCTCAACGGCTGCAAGGATGTACAAAGGAGATGCATGCTGACCGCACAACTTACGACTGCAAACACTCTTCTCGTGTCTCGGCCCATCCTCCTTTTTTTTTTTTTTTTTTTTTCTCGGCCCCCTTCCCCTGAATAAAATTTACAGTCATTAAAGCTGTACATTTTGGGGCAACTTTCAGTCCATACATACAACAATAATATGAGCGTACATTCTGTTCAGCGAACGAGGGTAGGGTGGGGACCACACTAGTGCCATCCATGGTTACGTCAAAGGCTCCAAACCTCCTGGTACAAATGCACTCAAACCTTCTTCACCCGAATACAATGTACTGTCATTATTGCTGTATTTAGACTGAAAGGTACCCCAGATACAGCTATAATGACCGTGCCTCGTATTCCGGCGAAGAGGGTAGTAGTGTAGCATAAACCGGTCATGCTACGACTTAAAAAAAGACCTGCCTCCTCTCCTCAAAGAGCACCCCTCCGGAAGGTTCTGGTCAAGCCACCTGTCCACAGCTCCCACACAGATGCATTGCCTCCTCCGTAGTCCCCAAGCAAGGGCTTGATTCCAAAACTTGAGCCCTCTAGCCTTCGGGGGGAGAGAGGCGCGGAGCGGCTGGCAGAGGGCGAGTCCGCACAACTCGGACCCCCAACCTTGGCAGGCACCAAAGGCCAGCCACCACCTGAAAAATGTCTAAATCTATTCAGCGCCTTCCTACCCGTCTTCAAGTTCACCTGAATGGAACGCCCGGTCTTTTCCCCTGTAGATCTAGACTGAAAGTTGCTCTGAATATAGCTATAACGACCTGGCGTTCTATTCGGGTGAAGAGGGTAGTGCTATGTGCTGCCTGTTCCCAGTGGTCGGAATGTCGACAGTGACGCCACAAACACCTGAGTTTACGTTATTCAACCCGACCAAAAAACGCGATTGATAACAGCCTGAACTGTATAGGATGGTCTCGCACACATTAAACCACCAGTAATAAGTCCTAAAGTTTGTGCCCGTTTACAAGCCACAATTTTAGGAAATGTACGGGCCACTACAGGAGCGCCCAAATTCATCCGACTAGAAACGTTTCTACTCTAGTTTTTCCCCTGGCCAATAGCTGGGCCAAGCACTGGTGGTTTAAGGGCCCCACTACATCCAAGCCTCCTTTGTGGACCCACTGGCATAGGTAGGCGTCGCCAAGGAGGGCTGGCTTCGCTTCGCAGGCCAGGCTGCTATGTGCTGGCAGATCAGAAACAGCTCCACAATCCCCTTGGCTCTTGCGATTAAACGCTCTTTGGTATACAGAAGACAAGAGATGGGTGCTAGCAGTTCTTTCACGACTCAAGTACACACTCTAGAAGGTGTTGTAACAGTGTCACGCAAAGAAGGCTACCTAACGAAGCAAAGCGCGTTGTATATTCTGCACTTTGTTAGAAGCGGTGCGACCCAAGAAGCGATGATGCAGTCACCGATCAGACCAACGATGACTGACGGCGGTTGTCTCTATGAGGAGAGCATATCGTATATTTTGCTCTTCCTGAGAAGGGGGGGATGCGAAACCAGGAGAAGGTGGTGGATGCGGCCTTCAACAAGTAGAAGATGCACGAGCACAAGCGTTCAGGAAACGAGAGCGACCAAAACCCTTAACCTCAAGCAATATGCAGCCGTCATCTAAAGGTGACACGCCTTTCGCACAGCTGCTAGCGAGTTCGCATTGTTCATTTCATTGCTCGTTAACCCTCGGACTTTGATCTCAAACAGTAAAGGCCACTTCTTCCCCGTCACAAAAATCCGGTCGCTTTCGACATCATACGCAATCCCATTGAGCACTTTGTCTCCATCGGCTCGAGCAGCAGCGTTCGACAATGCCGACATCTTGAGGTCTGGAAGATGCATCCAACCCAGAACGCGCCCAGTCTCAGGCGAAATCCTTGCGATACAATCGGTCAGCCAAATGTTCGCCCAGATCTCGCCATTGATGTATTCTAGCTCATTGATCTGATGGACGCCAAAACCGGCATCGGTGACGCGCAACCGTTTTGTCTCCCGGAAATCCGCCGGATCGAAGAAGTAAATAAACGCTGTCCCGTCACTGCCAATGAGATTTGCTCCGTCGTGCGTGAGGCCCCAACCATCACTCATGGTTGTCGTAAAATTGCCGACAACATCCAACGTTACCGGATCGTACACGAAACCATAGTTGAACTTATAAACTAATTGCCACAGTTTGCCGCCAAACAGGGTCAAGCCTTCACCAAACCACTGCGAGTCCATGTTTCGCTGCTGACGGACTTTGCCTGTGTGCAATTCTGCTAGCCTAATAGAGGAGTGGCCATAGAGCCCGGTAGACTCATAGAATGTGTCGTTCCCCGCGTACACGAGACCCTCGGTAAATGCCGCAAGATCATGGGGGTACGTCTTCACGACCTCAAACGCATAGACAGTGGGTTCTTTCATTGCATCTGGCACCTGCGAAGATGCATTTGGCGGTGGAGCAGCTGGCGCGGGAGGAGACACGACCGACAAGTTGGCAGCTGTGCCCGAAGGAGATCGAACCGGGGCATCGACTGAAACGGAGGGCTCCGTCCCATTGCTACTAGCACCAGATGCTGAGCTGCTAGACCTGTGAACCCTTCGCTTACCGAAACCTACAGCAAGTGCGGCGATGACTATGACCACAAAAGCAAAGGCTGCAACTGCCCACTTCCACATCCTTGGGAAAGCCCTTGTTGGCCAAGCCATCGTTCCTTAGGATAGCCGTCGTCACACTTCATACAGGTCAACGACATGCGGACATCGTGTTTTTTTTTAACGCGGAAGTCAAAAACGCACACATACAAAAAGTCAGACGCTTACGGACATTACATCTCACTGCAAAAAGTACCCTACAATGCAGGTAACCAAATTCACCTGTGACCCAAAATGATGACATACAACCAAACCTTTTCCCCTCTCCCCTCTCCTCCCCCTCCCCCCCCATCCTGCACCCTCAAACCACCAAAGGAAAAAAAAGAAAAAGAAAAAAAAAGGGACCAACAAACTATCAACTGGCAACTGCACCCTATGCACAAAAAAAGGACATTGTGTGGAATGAATATAACCACCATTGTGATGATATTCATTCAATCTTCAACAACTAGCTTTCAAAATAGCAGGTGCAATATTAGGTCAACCAGCCGGCGATTTATTGTGTGGAATGAATATAACCACCATTGTGATGATATTCATTCAATCTTCAACAACTAGCTTTCAAATAGAAGGTGCAATATTAGGTGAACCAACCGGCGATTTATGCGGCATTCACCCATCAATCCAAAAGTCTGAGAAAGGAAGAGAGATGATATTTGGAAACAGGAAGCCACTCCAGCTCTGCTCCTCCACGCTTCCCCCTCTGAAGTGCATAATGCAGGTACTGTTGGCACTCTTATGTCCCTCCCTTTCCCTCCTTGTCACCGTTGTCCTTGCTCTTTCCATCGTCCTTTGTTGCGTCCTCTTTTCTCCTTATTCCGTTTCTTAGTTTTGGTTGAAGAAGGGCAATGGTAGCCTGTCTCCGTGCTAACATATATCGTCAAACAGAGCTGCCTACGGTAAACTGTAGGCAGAGAGGGAGGGAGAATGAGAAAAGAACAACGAACAGGGGGCTGTCACAAACTGTTTCGTCGGAGTTTCACCGACGGACTCATCATATATAGAGAGTGGTTGGTGGTCCCCACCACCTCAAGGTATCAATTGTCGGGCAGTTGTTGATGCGTAACCAAAAACGGGGTTAAGGTGGATTATCACTTACAGTGTAACCAGTTACGGGATTCTGCAGACTGTTTTTGAGGGTTCAGCCTCTACTGATTGATGAGTCTGTTGGTGAAACTCCGACGAAACAGTTTGTCACAGCCCCTAGTTTGTTGTCCTCTCTTCTCCCTCTCTGCATACGGTTTACTACGCAGCTCGTTTGTGTGTGTGTGTGTGTGTGTGTGTGTGTGTGTGTGTGTGAGAGAGAGAGAGAGAGAGAGAGAGAGAGAGAGAGAGAGAGAGAGAGAGAG